GGACTATATTCTCGTATTTCAAAGGCCAGAGACAGACACTACTGTTCTCCGCAACGATGCCGAAGAAGATTCAAAACTTTGCGAGAAGTGCTTTAGTGAAGCCAATCACTGTCAACGTCGGCAGAGCGGGCGCCGCATCCAAAGACGTGGAACAGGAGGTCGAGTACGTGAAACAAGAGGCAAAAATTGTCCATTTGTTGGACACACTCCAGAAGACTGAACCGCCGGTTCTTGTGTTCGCCGAGAAGAAGCAAGACGTGGACGCCATTCATGAATATCTATTACTGAAAGGCGTGGAAGCGGTTTCCATTCACGGCGGCAAAGATCAAGAGGAAAGATCACGTTCTGTGACCGAGTTTAGGAGCGGCGAGAAAGATGTTTTGGTCGCCACTGATGTCGCCTCAAAGGGTCTCGACTTTCAAGAGATTAAACACGTAATCAATTACGATATGCCCGACGATATTGAAGACTATGTCCATAGAATCGGTCGAACGGGTCGTTACGGTAACAAAGGAATTGCCACTACTTTTATCAATAAATCTATCGATGAGTCGGTTTTGTTGGACTTAAAACACTTGTTACTCGAAGCCAAACAAAAGTTACCGCCATTTCTGGAAGCGCTTCAAACAGAATCGGAAAAGTACTTGGATTTACCAATTGTCCCAAATTAGAGGCCGTGCAGAACAAACAGTCGGCCAGTGTTGGCCGCAAAGACTACTTGGCCTCAGGAGGAGCCGACTGGTGAGCCCATGTTGTGGCCAATGTCTGTGAAAACTATTCATTACATTTCAGTGTTTTTCTAATTATTTTGTAATTATTTGATTTTAAATTCATTTTATTGTCGATTCCATTCAATTCATAAACCAATTGTGTATATATTTATTCATATAAATGTTTATTATTTAGAATATATTTTTACATTATAGAATAAAGTTGTAAACATAATCACTGTATAAATTTAATTGAGTTAAAATATTTAATTTACCGGTAATAATAATTTTAACATTAATACTATGGATATAAAATTGCAAATTATGTTTGTACACATCGCATACAAATTACCGGTAGTTTATTAAGTTATAAATTTGAAAAATATTTATGAAAATAATTTGTGATACGAAAATATAATCTAAAAGTGTATAAAATGTCACTTAAAAAACAAGACAACAATCGGACAACTATTTGTGCAAATGATGACCACATTGTTTCACTGGTATAATCAGATATGCCCTGAACTCTTGGCCATCGAGTAAAATATAGAGTCGGTATTTTCGAGTAGAGCTTTGGGAGAATCGTATTCCGCAACTTCTCCTCTATTCAACACAACAATCATATCGTAATCAAGAATTGTATTCAATCGGTGAGCGATCGTAACAATAGTGCACTCATTAAACTCAGTCCTTATAGTGCTCTGAATCAAGTCATCGGTTTCTATATCGACGGCAGCGGTCGCCTCATCCAACACAATGATCTTGGATTTGCGTAACAGCGCCCGCGACAGACATACCAACTGCTTTTGACCGACACTCAAATTATCGCCGCCTTCGGCCAGCATGTGGTCGAGTCCGGCATCCAATGAATCAACAAATGTCTTCAAATGAGACAATTCTAGTGCCGACCATATCTCAGAGTCTGAGTACGTGTCAAACGGATCCAAATTGTATCTCAAAGTACCGGTGAAGAGCACCGGATCTTGAGGTATGATTGTTATACGGGATCGCAAATCATACAAACCTATAGCACTGATGTCTATGCCGTCGATGTCAATGAGTCCATTGACCGGCTCTATCAGTCGAAACAGAGCTAACGTTAACGACGACTTTCCGGCACCTGTTCTGCCGACTACTCCCACTCTTTTCCCCCCATTTATAGTCAATGATATCTTTTTCAAGACCAGATCCAATCCATCCCTATATCTGGTGCTATAATTCTCAAAAGTGATGCAACCTTTCTGTGGCCACCCGTCGTCAGGTCGGGTCTCGGGTTTGCGTTGCAATGCCTTTCAATCAATTGAATATATCATTGAATATATCATTGAATATATTATTAATAACTAATTTCATTGAGTATTACCTCAACCGGAATGCGTGTGTATTCAAGACAACGTTCAACGGACACAATATTGGTCTCCAAATTAGTGATCACAATAATCAAGTAATTTAAGGCACGAGTTATTGTGAGCGCGTAACTCATCGTTAGGCCGACGGCGCCGGCACTTAATGTGTGTCGGTTTAGGACCGCATATAAGGCATTGATAAATATGATTAAATAGCCTAAAAATTCGAGTCGAATACATAGCCAAGCAGTGGCCAAAGTTGTCGCAAAAGAACTCGTGTTATTTAAGTCAATCTTTTTGTTGAACTCATCCACAAACCGGTCGCCCGAACCGAATGCCCTAATACTGGTCGCACCCGAAAGTGTTTCCGAGAAATATGAATAAATGGGCGATCGAGTGGTCGACTCTATTCGCCTCAATTGTCGCGATGTGGGAATGTATAGGCGCTGTACGATCAGGTATATGAGTCCGAGTGGAAGCACAAACACTAGTACTATCGGCACCACAAAAGCCATCACCACTAACGCCGATAAGACTCGAAAGATCTGTGTCAACACATTTCGGATATTGACGTCCAATTGAGTGTCTAAAACGTCGATATCTCGGGCGAAACGAT